TGTAAATTAGTTAAATAGCAATTAACCTAATTGATTTCATTGTAGACTAGTACCAACAATTCAACGAAATTATTAGGTACATAGACCACTCAACTACTTAAATAAACTAACACCGCTTCTCACGTGTTAGAATTTCGTAACCTGGCAATTACCAATGTGACTTTACCTGAGTCCTGAATTATACACTTGTAAACATAACTTTTAACTCCGAAATCCATCTTAAACCAGAGTGGTGCTTAAGTAATACTAATTCTTTCTACAATTGAAATACTTTTACACAGCGGTAGACGCTCATAAGCTAGAGAAATAATGTGAAACTAATTTGATACTAAGCATTTTTCGAAGACAGGAGCCGAATTCATAGTCAGCTGTATACAAAACTTAGTATTCATAGTATCGAAACTGAGTCACGTGTTTAAAGAAGGTCGCTCGTGGTCACGTGCTAGTCGCTCGATCGAAAGTAGCACAGTGCAGGTTTTACGGCCTCCTATCACTTCCTAAACAGTTTAAAATGAGGTCACATAGTTTTCGACAGTCAAATCAACGAGTTTCCTACAATTAAAATAAAGAAATTAATAAAAAAATATTATGTACTTATGAGATTTTTGACTGTTTGTTTGCCTGTTCATTTGTTTGAGTGCGCTAGACTTTGAAACGTTGTAAGACCTGGGGTTGTCATGATAAATGGGTTTAGTTTTAGGTTAGCTAAACCCCCATATGTTCTACGCCATCCATCCCATCATCATCAGCCTATAGGTATACATTGCTGAACAAGTGCCTCTTCTAACACGGAGAAGGTTTGAACGTTCTTCACCAAGATTGCTCAAGGCGGATTTGCGATTTCAAACTTATAATAAGACTTATCTCTCTGGACTTATGGGTCTCGGGACTTATTAAACTGAATACTGAAGCTATTGCCCAGATATCAAAATAAAATCAAAAAAGGTAATTGGCCATGTAAGAACCCTAAGCCCTTAAAATCAAGAAGACAGGGACGACACCCCATTTATTAACAGAAGAATGTCACATATCTTTCTCCCAACCTTTTCCGATTGAGGCTAATGTGATTTCGACCCTGTAACACAATTTTGTCACAATTTAATAATTCAGGGCAAAGTAACACGTGTGACATGCATAAGCAATCAGGAAAATCATCACGCAGTTTCTTTTCCCTCGGCGAATTCTTTGAACCGTATGAATAAAGTTTTTATTGAAAATGATGTGAGTAAATCTCACGTGAATTAATTGAGGAAAAGCTCTACTAGTTTCAAGTCACCAGAGAACTCTTATTCAATATTTTTTTAGGTTTTAAGTCGGCAAACGAGCAGACGGATTACCTGATAGTAAGCAATCGGCGCCGCCCATTGACACCCGCAACACCAAAGGAGTTACGAGTGCGTTGCTGGCATTTTGGGAATAGGGGTTTTAGTATGTATCAGAATTTTAGGGGAAAACGGCCAGATACTCCCCCTCACCCCACCCAGAACGAGAAAAATAATAGTATGCTGTAATCCTCAAAAAAAAATCTGCCGCAACCGCATTTGTGGATCTGTCAGTAAATTTGCAATAGCTAAACCCGAAAACAACTGATCGTACTTTCGTGCAAAACGAATAATAGTACTTAATAAAAATTTAAAATCGTGTTCTTAAAAAATTGTCCACAACTGCTTTGTCTTTACGAACATAGACCTCAAAAGCACACGCCTCTATACAGCCTACTTATACCAAGATCTCCTTACTCAAACCTTAAACATATTCATAAAGTTCTTTCACAATATTATGTTCTACATCCTTTTAAGCGAAGATAACATTGATAGACGGCCATCTTTACGGCATCGTTTGAAAGATATAAGGCGGGTACGTGAAAAATATCATACAAGTAAACGTCTATTAACTTTATTTTTTTCGAAGTTACCTACTATTCTCTGTAAAGATACTCTTGTGTATGGGAACGTATATATATACATATATTTCTCGTGGGGTAAAAATATATATTTATAGACATCGTTACTCCTTAGTTTACATATTTATCAGTATTGTTCTCGCATGTAGAAAGCATTCGTGAGCTAGTCAAACTTTTTTTTAAAAGTAGCGACAGTCTCTAGCTTGTTCTTCTCCATTCGAATATACCTACACTTTGGAGCACCTAGCTTCGCTGACGAATAGACTGACATACTATTATTCTATTTTGGCATTTCTTATGAATAATAACGGGCGGCTAACGAGCAGAAGGATTACCTAATGGTAAGCAATCGGCGCCGCCCATTAACTACCAGAGGATACAAGGGTGTTGCTGGCTTGGGACTTAGTGATTTAAATTTAAGGTTTAGGGATTTGGAGACTGACAATAGGGGGAAGTATTGGTTCTCCAGTAACCTCACTCATACTGACTCTAAACCCTGACCCTGATCGTGTAATAGCAAACCTTTCAAAACTATTACAGTTGGCTATAAAAAAGCAAATGACGTCCACCGAGTTAGAAGACGCCTAAACGACATGTGACTTTGTTATCATTCTTTATAATGATGTTTTATGTTCCAAATCCATATTTTTATAACTAATCGATATAATTATATAGATATATATTTGATAGATTAAGTAAATGATCGGTCGGCGAAATGATAGAGCGTGTTAAATTGTCTTTTATATAATTAGGTACTGTTAAGATAAGTAGATTATAATTAAACTAGCAACCCGCCCCGGCTTCGCACGGATGCAATGCTGATTCTAATTTCCTTCACTATTTTACGAATGTCATTATGTATATAAACATTCCTCTTGAATCTTTAAACTCTATCTATTATAAAGAACCGTAGCAAAATCCTTTTCCTCACACGTTTTTGGCACAGAGATAGATTATAGTCTTGAAAAACAGATAGACCACTTTTTATCCTGGTATTCCGGAGACAGAAGCTAGTAGATATTGTTATAATGTTATAATGATGAAAGTTGTTATAATGATGAAGATATTGTTATAATGATGAAAGTCCGCCTATGTACAGAAATTTGTGTGCATAAAGCTTAATAAATAAATAAATAAATAATGATGACAATTGGGTAGTTTCCTAGGTCAAAAATAAATTAATTCGATGTTATAATGCAATAAAATATTGAAAACTAACTATACTTTTATTCATCGATCGATCGATACACCATGTTTTAGATTTTTTTTAGCTAATTATTGTGAAATAAGTAAGCTATTTGACGCAAAAATGTTATGACGTCATAGCTCAGTTTTTCATACAAATTTCATAGAAAAGTATCGGTTTTGACGTTTGGATAAAAGTATTGAATTTGACTGGTTGGAAACTACCGTATTATGATTGCGATTGTACCTACGTACAAACATTCTCATAAACCAATTTAAGAACTTTACTTAAACTAATGTATTATCTAAAAGTAATATAACGGATATAAAATTTTATTGAACATCTATGTTGATATTATTGCCAATCATTATCTTTTTTGATAAACTGGCGCCATTAATATGGGGTGAACGCCATGTGCATGAAACGATAGGTCATAAAATTGCTGATTTATTGCCGCCATTTTGTAGATAATTTCATTAATCATTAAAATGGCAGTTAAATACGTATGATGCAGTTGTCAGAAAATAACGAATAAGGCTGCATACACGTGACGACTGCGCCCACGCACGTCCAGACCGAGAAAAGATTTAAACTGAACGGTCTATATTCAAATTTTTCTGTTACATGCCTTTGTCAGTGCTGTTTAGATATTGTAAAACAGGCTTTTTTTGAGGAGGAAAAATCCTCAAATGTCTTCTCTCTCGTCTTTCTGACACTCTCCCATTATAAGCGGGAGTGTCAGATATTTACTGTCTAAAAACTACCCTATTGCTTCGCCTGGAGCAACGAACGAGGTCACGATACTTACATTATTGCGCTTGTATAGACGGCCCCGACTTAACATCAGCCTTATTGGGCCCCATCTGTGCTGTGCGCAGTTCTGATCAGCCATAGTAAAAGTCTTAGGCTCTAAGGCCCTTAAGTCCTATGTCAAAGTTAGGTGGGTACCCAATACTCAAGGTTTCTGACCAAACCAGCTCTAGTTTTGTAGGTGAACATTGTGGCGCTAATGACTTACCATCTTAAATAACACAAGTTCTTATGCTTATAGTCCATTAAACCAATTCTTCTACTAAAAAGCTGCAGTTTATAACTGGCAGACTATGAAACCATTTCCAAGTAAAATCAATGAAATACGTATTAGAAATTCCCCACAATCAATGTATTGTTACTATCCGCAGATAGTGACGTGATTAGCATCGAAATACAGCACAGTCTAACTTTTTGATAAGCAAATATCTATTTTATCTAACTTTAATTATATGGAATACCCATATATGCTCTTTCACGTGAAAACTACTAAACACATCTGAATGAAATTGACACAGAGATACATAGATTATAGTCTGGAATTACAACATACTGGCTACTTCATACCCTAGTACCGCTGACGAAGTCGTTGGCAAAAGCTGGTTATTTAATTGCTAAGTACAAAATTTTCAGTACCTTTTTTAGGAAGTAGGTAGTTATAGCTAGCCCTTTCTGAAATACGAAGAAGTGTTATCACGGGTCCAACTATCTCGCTATCAAATGGTCACTTTTTCCTAATCTTGCCGTCAACATTTCTAATATTTTCTTTGATAACAACCTTCTCCTGACAATAACAAACATAACAAAAAAAGAATAAGCAAAATTGGTCCAGACGTTGTTGAGTTATGCGCTTACCAACACATTTTGCGATTCATTTTTATATAATAGATTAATTCTGTATACTTTCAAATACATTTAATAGCCCTCTAACCATTGAGATAGAAAATATATAGAGGCGCCCTGTTATTATAGAAGTATACATGCTTATACAAATATGAGTGAAATATGAAACAAACTATGAAATATAGTTTTCTCTCACTCTTTCTTAGGCAATAATTGTATTAGACAAAAGGGACAACAATATTTAAGTTGTTGCTTATTATGGCAACAAATCATTTTGACATTAGCAAAGTTGTAGGTAAGTGCCATGTCCGCCATCTTAAGCGCTCAGAGTACCTGAGTTTCATGGTAGTTGTGCTGTCAAACGGTTGTTTATGTTTTAAATTATTGCGGTTTTCCAGTAAATTACAAAGAACCATTTTTTTAAACTTCTAACATATATAGTGAAACAAAAATACAATATGCCTGTGTGTTGTATTGTGCAGTGTGGTGCAAAAAAGAACGAAAATCAACCTCAATTGTCTTTGTATAGGTTAGTAAACAGTTTTCATCAAATATTACTTAGAATAATCCACATAGATAGAAAAAAATGTTACGGATACTTGAATCTATTGCCAAAGTATATATATCTACTTCTATTTCTGTCTGTGAGACAGTTTTAGTAAAAAAATGTTGTTTACAATAATATGTCAAAATGGCATAGTTACGTACCATTCCACAAAAGTATCGATATAATCTCCCATTTAAAATTCAAGATACATTATCCTAAATAATCTATTTTAGCAATGGATGTTTCCTCAGTTTTGTGTAAGGCTAAAGTAAGACGTCAATATTTTGGTATTGGTTTTAGTTACATAAGTAGAAGTTCAAATTATCATGTTTTATAATTATCCGGGCGCGATTGACAGAGCTGCGTTGGCGGCGATCCCAGTGGGACCACCAAGCTTAATAAGTGAGATACATACAGTAAGATTGACTTCACTACTTATCTTTTTTGTGCTAACGTAGTTTCGAAGATATCATCGCTTAATCAGACACACCGAAATTGTGCGCGAGCACTTCACAAATTCCTACAGGTTTTTCACATATATAAAGATAAACATTTAACAAACACTATCTTTTTTCTATTTCACCATTCCATTAAACGCTGTTCATAAACACAGTCCTTTTTTTTTTTAAAGACGCTTTACGTAGAATTATATGAATACAAATTCGACTTGAGAAAATCATTAGCCAATCAAGAGACCAAGGTAACCCCGGGTTCCGGGCTCTAGCTAGGCCGACGGTAAAGTAGGAACAGGAGTTGATTTTAGTCAGTAACGGTCTGTCACGAAAAGGGCCGGAGATGACATTAGATGATTTCCCATAAAATATACCGTTAATCAGCTGGCTAATCCCTAAAACTATACCTACGTAGAACTTATACTCAAATTGTATCGATACTCGTTAAATACTTAGTCGGCACAACCCTAGCAACGGCAGCCATCTTATGCGACATTTTGGATTGTAGGTATGCACCTTTTCTTCGTAGGTATTTCAAGTCCATATATTTCCTATGTCAATGCCTCTAACTCGTATGGCAAGATTATATAATGAAAGGACCATTATGACAGATTATCCCATCGATATTTTCTCCATGAACTTCGCATCATACAGACGCTCCCTACTTAAACAATGTGAACAGTGCCCATCGTTATTGCTTTAACACGTTTTTTGTTTTTTTGTTTAATTATTAGCTTAGTTATATAAGTCTCAAAAACCTTTCATTTTCAATGTCATGCACACCTGTAATTTGTACAATTGCTTGTGCATCCAATTATTTGATTATTGTGTTTTTTGTATAACATTGGGTGATTATATTGTTGGTGTGCTTATTTTTAAATAAATAAATAAATACAATAAATTGTTAAGATCGTAAATAGAAACTCTTCTGTTCTTACTACGTTAAAATCAGAGAGCCAACTTCAAAGAGGTCTGTAATAAAATTACAAAGATAGTTCTTTTATAGACGACCAGCAACATCACACGTGATACAAAAGTAAACAGTTCAAATATTAATTTAAGTATACGCATTATTATCTTCGTTGGATAAACGCGTGATTCTGAACTACACAACGAACAAACATTCTTCTACTCTGAATCATTTGTTTCAAGTAAACAACACTTTGTACGAAGAAATGTAGAGTAAAATATATGATCGCGTCATCTCCATATGTTAAATGCACGCTCGCTTCGGTTTACGCGTGTAAAATGCGTCATAGTTATACATGTGAGCCTTATCTCCATTTATGAATTTAGGTGTGATGTTAGATAACTAAAAATCTTAACAAGAACAGCATGAAAATGAAAATTATTACGAGTATAGAATATCAATTTAATATTTCTTTCATTAGAATAAGTTGTTTTTTTAATGTGATTTGAAATGATTAGTACTGTGTGTATTTTAAATGGTTATTCAGGTCCTACCCTTCTACGGCTAACTTCAAATCAGTTAACCTAGTCTTGAAAGTATAGACATTTATTTTTGTTACTTATCTACAAAAAAATACAGAGAAAATTACTTCGAATACTTTTACACTCTTAAAACAATAATATCATAACATGATAAAGGTCGTAAACAACAATAACCAATTCAAATAAGTACCTAGTTACTATCTAAATATGGCTGAAAACACGCCAGTGCATTTAACTTGCAAGTCAATTCAATCGATTCTCATTTCCTGGTCATTATGTAAGCTAAACTTGTCTCAATGGCCGTCCAATCATGGACCCTTATTACTGACTGATTGAACGTGATTGGCCAAGGGACCGAGGGTTAGAAACTGCCACCATCTTTCGATTTAGAGACTGTTCTTATTTTAAAAGGTATTCAAGTACAGAATACGAACATCGTAACATGCAGTACATATTAAAAAAGGTCACTGAACTGTACAATTTGTATTTTACAAGACCTGTGTCAATTTACCTGAGTGTGCAAATAAAGACCTCATGTTTTAGGTTGCAAATATCTTTCTAAAGATATATTTCGTAAAAACCTTTGTAAAGTTTTGTGTAAGAGTTGACCTAACGCCTAGTCTTGTCTACTAGGCTACCAGCAGAACACAGTCTAAACAAATGTCTACAATCCATTCTAAATTCCATAGACTAAACATAATTTGATTGACGCCTCTATCGTAGTCTTCCCCCGAATGTGAGATAAAAAATGACCTACGATTTTAACCTTTAGACCTCCAGACTAACAAGGTTCACTTAGATAGTCGCAAAAACCCGCGTCTGTTGATCTTATTCTACAAATAAGGGGAACGAACTTTGACTCATCTGTTGTGACCTGATTTGCCGAAATGAATTCTCTTTTGAGACTATGAAGATTTAGTTTTCTATGTTAATGTGGCCAGGTATTAAGAAGACTATGTTGTTTCATGAAACAACATAGTTTCTCAGAAATATAGTTGTTTTTGAAGAACAAAACGACGTGTATTGGTGACTAAGACTTGAATAAAACATAAACAATAACTCCTACGTCATAATAACAGCTCATTAAACTGTTTTGTATGAGTGAAGCGACCAGAAACCTCTGACTCAACGAAGACTCACAACGGAGAACAAACGAATGCTCAGAAAGTGGGACAAGTGCAAAGTTATTTTTGCGTGTTGTTTCCGAAAAACTCCGAGTATGTTGGTATTTCCGCACGTAGGTAAATGACAGTCCGTCCGTGAATCTTCTCGGAAAGACCATTTTGGTTGTCGTATTTAGAATCAATATGAGAAAGAAACGCATTCTTTAAATTCACGTTTAGTTTAGTTAGTATTTATTCTCCTTCACTTATCCGTTCAATCAATCAATTTTGTTTCTATACAAAACACAATTTGCACTTACCCCAGCCTATAGCCTATTGTGTGATATTTGCTATTGAGATCGTTAAAGTTATCAAGAAGAACGAGGAAATATGATATTTCTTATAAATACCTACTACTTAGAATGAATGAATGAATTACGAAAAGCAGCCAAAGATAAGAAATAAGAATGTAAAGATATCAACACACAACTTATGTGTCATACACAAGAACATAACACGCCAAACGAAGCCAACAAGCTAAAAACATGGCCGACTTTTGAAAAATGTCACCTAATTTTACGTATTTCAAGTCGCATAAAATCTTATTAATTGATCACGTATCGTTTGTTGTCGTTTTCTAGATGAGAATTTTTAGAATCTATGGTCGGTGCCAATTTTTGTATCGACGTATTGATGCACTACGTTGTGATATGACGATTGATCGTAAACAAAATTTTGTTTACGATCAATCCAGTGCCAGCCACGCTTAAGTTTATTATGCAATAAAATCAAATCTAAAATTTGTGACTGTATTGTAAGAAAAAGAAATAAATAAATTCTTATACTTACTATGTTGAAAGGTCGAGAGTGAAACGTAACTAGGTTGAAGTCAAAATATTCAAAATAGCTCCTCTCACGCGGTTTCGCCCGCTGCTCAGCTCCATTTGATCGTAGCGCGATGTTTTATTGCCTATAGCACTCAGAAACATTGTAGCTATCATTCAGTGAAAGAATTTTGTCAATCCGACCATCTGTTCCAAAGATTACCCCCTACATACAAACTTTCAAACATACAAACGTACAAATTTTACCTCTTTATAATATTAGGAAGTATAGATGTCTCATCAAACGTTCCTATAGTCTATCCACCGATAGAAGGAAAAAATATTTGTATAAGATTCTATTTATCGATTGAGGAAAAACAGTTACATATAAGTACCAACCTACATTTTTTATCTAGGTATCTAGTAGAAACATAGGCCTTTTTGAGAAAACCTTGAGGTTGTCAGAATGATCTCATACTTATATAGTTCTTTTAAAAGGTATCTTATCACCTTATCACAAAATCTCTCATCACATGACAAAGATCGATGTGACAGTTCCTTGTGCGATCTTTATAATCGTATGTAGGTAACTGTCATCTCGTTTAGATTGTTTGCAGTACCTACGTACTTGTACTGTAACTCCCAAAATTACACAATGAGTGTTTCATTGAACTGTTCCCACAATAAATTTTAGTTAATGATCTCTGTTACCTGTTATGAATTGAGATATAGGTAGGTAGACACCAAATAAAATACTTAGATTCGCGGTAGATTTTTCACAATGTAGGTATTGGAAATTTTAAACTTTTGAATTGATTTCCACCAACCAACTTTGTAATTGGTCGATTTTCGGTCAGTAGACAAGCGAGATTAATTTACCAACTTTAAAAATAACAACCATGGAACACATGGACAATCACACGTAGGTACTTAATTTTAAAAGTATTCTAATCGATTTTCATGGAAATTTAAAAGCGTCGATTCGCTCAATATGAAACATCTTTTCAAACTTTAAGAATTGCTTTAATGCATCGATCGTAAACCATGATCTTGAAACAGACGCCAAATGTTTATTTCTATGCCAGCGTCATACACAATACCGGCTCATGTACACACGCCTTGTCTTTATTAGGTCACGGTCTATATCAATGAACTTGGTACTGTCTGGGACTGTTCTTTATGGTAGTTTTCCTTGTTAATTCCAGAGCGTGAAAAACCATCATCAGTGTTGTTAGAGAAGCAGCGTGAGGCGCTCGTCAAGAGCGTCGAGGTCGCTACGGATCGAGGCCGGGATGAAGGCCTGTATGAGCGGGGGGCGGAGGCGGAGCCGGCTGGACCCGGCGTGGGCCGGTGGGGCGCCGAGTGGCCGAGTTGACTCAGCTCGGGGGCGGCGCCCGAGCCCGACGCCGCGGAGTCGGCGTCTGGGCCGGAGTGCCGGAAGGAAGACGTGACCAGGCCGGGCCCCGACCTGACCAGACCGCCGCTGCCGCGAGCGCGCTGGGGCCCGGCTAGGCGCCCGCTCGAACTGTCCTTGGCAAGACACGAAGAGCTGGCAACGCGCGCTGAGGCCGCACTGCGCCGTCTGCTCGTCACCGACAACTATGACTCCGTCAACAACTTCATCTCGCTGCATGAGGCATTCGAGCGCGGTGGTGACTCGCTCTACCAGGTGTACCAGCAGTACACGCCACCGATTCGCGCTCGCAAGCACACCTGTGTGGGGCTGGGCTTCGAACTCATGCGACGCTGGCGGAGCTTGGAGCGGGATTTTAGTGGCATCACCCGCGCCACCGCTCTGCTGTCGTGCGAGGAGGCTGTGGTAGACGTGCGCGAGTACGTGACGTGTGGCGAGGGGCCCGCGGACGTGCTAGCTGCTGAGAAAGAGCACGTCATGGTGGGCATACAGATCCGTGTGGACGGCCGCCTCGGTGTCATGCTCGCTGACCCCGGCTACCACGTGCCCAGAATCGTTACCGTTATGCAGGACCGGAACTACCCGCATACTGGTAAGTTTTAAAGCTAAAAAATAAATAGAATTCATTAACCAAGTATTAGTCTACATTTCCATTACAAATTATGCCTAAGTAAACCCTTCTCCCTCGAGCTCCTGCTTATGTAGTCGCCCCTCGTGCAGGTTGGTTCGTGCAGTCGGACGAGCAACACTGCCGCAAGGAGTACAACTACACGTTCAGCATGCTGAACCCAGGCTACATCGAGTGGCACGAGCGGGAGACGCGCGGGGAAACCGTCAAGTGCCAGACCTCGCTCGTGTACGCCGGCAGACCGTACCTGGACGGCATCAACGTCACCGAGAGAAGAAACCTCGTCTACAACTTTAGGTGACGATCAAACACAGTTTTCTACATTTTCGGCAACATTCCTCATTCCATTCCTACTTTTGTTCACGAAGCAGTTTTTTTCTGAAATTATTTGACGTTTAGTGAATAGAGCGTTCGGCCAATGTGCTGAAGACCTCATTTCCTACATAGACATGAAGACTTCTAGGCCAGACATCAGACTACACTGCCTAGTATAGATATAATTAGTTTGCCTTATCAGTCTCATCAATCATCATAGTTTTAAGATCATTGACTTATCTGGCGCACGCCAGTCTTCTAACGACTAGCGCAGACAATAGCTTCTATTGGCAACAATCCAATTATGCAATTGCTAAAGTGGGACTATTAAATACATGTTCTTTTGTGTGTCAATTTATAGAAACTATTTCATTAGGTTAGGAAGGTGTCTGGTGTGATTATGCCGCTTCCTTTTTTCCAATTATTGAAGACTTTTCTATGAACGTAGAACTAACGCATAAATTTCTTCCAGGAGTCTTCTCTCCCGCGACCAAAAAGGCCACTTGATAGCCGGCCTCTATTTCCCAGTGGGTGCGACCATCAAAGACGCGCAGTTCACCCTCTTCCTCAACAACGGGCCTCAGAAGCGGAAAACTAAGTACAAGTTCAGCACTTTTGCTGACCCTCAAGACGTAAGTATCTAACTTGTTCTGCATTCGGATAGGTATTTGATACGTTTTACAGGACACCTTAAGACACAGCTGAAAGCTTTCGTTGAGCTACAAAGAATAGCCAACTATCTAGATAACCAAATGCTTCCCCTGAATTGAATTGACAGAGCCTACTTATTTTAATTGTATTTATTTTGTAAAATGGCAATATACGCGAATAAAGAAGCCAATCATAATCAAAAAGAGAAAAGCACAGCTTTATGCAGTCGATCGTGACAGATCTGAAACTGCAACCAAATCTATTGAAATCGGATCTGGAACAATCGGTGACCGTCCATGAAGGTTACATGGCTATTCTAAACAATGGCTTCCGGTCGCCAGTTGAACTTTGTTGAATTGCTACTCGAGCTGGGAACTGAGGGACATTGTAGAAACAATGGGATCTGCCGTAACTGCCAGACTTGAACGTGTAAACATCGATACACGTTATATTTAACCTTTGCCTACATTCAGAAGTCATAAGAGAGTTTTGTTTGTTTTAATAACGAAAATATAGATATATATATACTTTTTGTTGGCAAGTATTTTGGAATATTTTTAGCGACAATTGATACATACAAATAATGATAAAACTGTGGATTATAAAACGCGGCGTAAAAAAAATGCTTTGAATAATGAATTTTAAATAACGTTCATAAGTTCCCGCGTGTCGTGTGTCGTTAGTTCTAGTATCTAATTATTAATGTTTTCTATGATTATCTGTGAGCAACTGTGCCTTTCCCGCACTGAAACATATAATCACAGCTCATTATGTGTACTTACGTACAGTCAAACGTATTATTTCTTGTACTATCTATATCTGTTATTTGACTTGAATTCTAAATGACAGCGTTTAAATGTCTTTTCATAATGATAAGGTTTCAACTCAACTGGATAGTGTATAGGTACATAACTGTATACCTATATGTCCTTTTTCTGTTAAACATGGTAACATTGATAATAGTTTTCATATATTTTTCCTCAGTTATCCTTACACTTCGATAAAAGTTTGAGAACTACAGTCGCCATTGTTAACAAGCTGACATCTTTGTCCTGTCCACAGATTCCAGATGAGATATTGGAAGAAATCCAGCTGTGTAACACCAAGATGAATTACAAAGAAGGCGAGCTATTATCCATCATTAGCAAGCTTTCCCGAGTAATGGCTGACCAGGCCTTCATCGATCAGATGCTGGAGATCAACGAGGACATCTGTCGCATGTGTCTCTGACAACAACATGGCGTCCAGAACAAAATGGCGGACGCCAGTAATGGAGGCAAAAAAGCCAAATAATGCATATATTGTTTAAAACAATCTTAACTTCATTTAATTTTATCCAATTATTTTGTATTGTATTTACATATTTTTTAATTTTTGGATTATCTTTTATTGGGTTATAGGTCATTTTTTACTTTATCGTAGTTATTAGGATTACGTTAAAATTAATAACGTTTAATTTGGAATTGGGTTATTGGATATTTTTTATTGTTTTTAATTGCTTAACTTTCTTAATAAACTTTTATTATTTGAATTGTGTGTGACTCGTTTCTTTTATTTACACTTTCTGACCCGATCTAGTTAAACAAATCATGGCACAACATTATTCTGATGCATCTTTAGAAAGCTCTAAATCAAAAAAAAACTCTTGAAATAAGAGAATTCACTACTTTATTATCTCACACAAGTAATAAATTGGTTCTTTACAACTAACATCAATAATATGTCTAAAAATATTTCATTAGGTCTAAATAAACAAGGCGTTAAAATAAAACGAAAAGAATAAATAAAATAATTAATTTTATTTGAAGGAATGAGCGATTTGTAGCGGTCCAGCACCGTTGCAATTTTGTGCAGAACAGTTGTTACGACAATCAAACTGATAATGACGGGATGGAGGTAAATGTAATGCCAGGAGCCATTCAGACCTGTCAATAATAATACGCGGGAACCTTCTGGAACTTGTACCGCTGCACGACGAGGTAATACAAAATATACTCTACGGTATCACAGTCAAAGTCTACTCTGTATTAACAATACGCCATTCGTGCCAACATTAGCTGCAAACATAACTTGTCTCAATGGCCAATGGTCCTTAGTTAAAAAAATCCTTATTTATTACTTTGTGAACTATCCGTCTAGTGGGTACATAGACATCTAACCTCTATGGAAACTGTTGATATTGTATTGCAAAAACTATTTTATCGAAATCGACGAATAAATAAGTGAACGACGAACAAAAATTTATAAGTCGACCTCGACAAAAATAACTTGAACAATTTATCGAAAAATAACTTATAAGTACGACACTTATATTACTAATGAGTTTTATGATTAATCATAATCTTATTTACGATATCAGAACTTAAATATTTCGAACGCATTCTAATTCTAAACTCAAAAATCGGATATGTGAAATTTGAAATGAATTACTAATTTTAAGTATAGGAATTACCGAAAAAATCAACGTTAATTTACGATATAGAATAACAATGTTTATAATTTTATTTTGAACTACAAAATATTGATTTGAGAAAAATGACATTTAATCTACCTAAATATTAAACTAGTCTGTGGCTTGGCGTTGTTGATAACTAAAAGATGGCGTTTTCCGTGTAATACAGATTATAATAACATTGGGGCAAAAATAACCATCGCCACAGATTATAGAACACGGTAATTTTATAAGACTATTTTTCTAACACAGAGTACGATTGTCAGGTGGGAGAATACAGGTAGATAAGTTTATGGAATCTTGGACAAAGCACGCATTACCACGACAGTGTTCTTGTCACGGTAATAATATCTATACAGTACTGTAACTCGGCCGCATCTTTAAAATAAATGTCTACTGATACGCAGTTCGAAACGTGCCGCTTCGAGCATTATTATTTTATTAGGGAAAAAATTGCGCGATTTTTGATAAATAAACAACACAGCGTCAGTTCGTCACTGTGCGCCGCGAACGCACACGCGAGATCGAGGCGCATAGGCATGGCACGTGTTTCGTCTATACAGATATTGTCCAACTTCACAGATATTATTACCGTAATCTTTGTTTTAAATAACATATATCAAAGAATTCTAATAACAATAGCAGCCATTTTGAAAATTTGTCGCCATTTTGTCGTGATTACTGAGTGCAGAGTCCAATAAAAGGAGGTTTTGCACCGAATGGTGCAATGACATTTCAATATTATTATGTCCTATTTTATTACATTTTCACTAAAGTCTACGTCCGAAGTCATTAGACAATATAAATCACGATACAAGGCGATATCACGAGTCGTTTTGTAACGGCAGCGGCTTGCCAACAAATAAAATGGACAGGAAACGAGATCAAGATTGTTTAACTAAAAAAGAGGATCTTGAGATTTCAAAAGACCTCGGGAAAGCCGCGTAAATACATTTTCAAACATATTTTGGCAATAAACACGCGGTAATCCTGTCCAGTTTTATTTGATAGCACGCCAAAGGTTACACGCTTACAAATAATGAAAACTAAATACAATTTGTAACTTACTCAAAATCAGCAAACCCGAAAATAAAATTCTAGAATTTTCTAATTCTATAATCAAAAATCAAACTCAAAACAAAAAAAAAATTCATCAGAATACATAAGTCAATTTGGCAAAATTCATTCTCGCTAGATGGCGCCACTGAGGCACAAAGTCCTTTTAGTCTCTCCTAGATGTTAGTTTGCCATTAGATTAGTTTACGAATAGATGAGTAACAAAATCTATTATTTAGGGCCTCTAGAGAGATAAATACATTACAAAAATGGAATATCACTTTCTGTTTTTTTGGCCTCGACTGTCCCATACATGCGTATGGCAATAGATATTAGGATACGCAAAAGAAATCGAATGTCTTGGTGGCCTAGAACGTTAAGGCGCTCACTTCTCATGCATGAGGGTGCGGATGCGAAACCTAGCAAGTACCAATGTGCCTTTTCCGAGTTCAAAGTACTTTCTAGATTATTTTGACACCACTGACATCGACACGAAAACATCGCGAGGGAACCTATTTGAAAGTTTGAAATCGCCAATCCGCCTAGAGCTAGCGTGGAGCTCCGTGTGAGAAGAGGCCTTTGCACTTATAGGCTGATGACGATGTGAATAGGAATTAAATTAAATATAACAGCGTCGTCTTTTAGGTAAGTAAAATAAATAGTAGTAAATAGTAGTAGATGTGTAACCATAGGCAGTGCCGCTGTCGAAGCCCAGATGGTGGAGGGTCTTTAGCGGGTCTGCAGGGCTCCGAGGGCCTAGTTGTCAGAGGGCGCGGGTCGGTGCGCGTGCGCCTTGTGTTGCTTGTGCCGGTGGTGGCGCTGGGGGTGGGACCCGCCATACACTTCGCGCACGCTTGGGCTGGAAACGTAAAATTTTTATTTGTAAGTAAAGCTCTCTATATCGTCTGTTCAGGATGATAAGTATGTATGGTTATTTATTTTATAGGTTGAAACATTTTCTTAAATTGTTTTCTATTGATTTTGTGACTAATTGCGTGATATGTGATGTACATAGTATATTAAAAGTTTAATGGAATATTAAGTAGTATAATTCAAGAATATATTATATATTTTTTAAATGCTCCTCGTCTTTTATGTGGGTTATTAGATAGATCTGATTCACCTACTTTTTTTAGCAAAAATAGATTCATTGTTTCATTGATAACAAAGGTTCACACGTTTGCGCACAAAGCACAAAATCGATAGAGAGCCAAAATCGTATGTTTTGCAAAATATGTTATTTAGTGTTTTCCAGTAAAATGACTGTTAGAAAAGTATTTACAATGACTCATTCTATTATTCTTGCAATTATGCGCAATGCGCAAAACTTGCGCAAACTTTTAGTACTTTTCATTCATCATTAACAACAGCGACGAAATGACTATAGATATTTAAATAAAATTATAACACATTCACAACGGTGTATAATTTCCTTGAGCTTTTTAAAATGTATATTAATAAATATCTACAAATATATTATGTTTGAATACTTTGAATCCACACCAACCATTTTATTGTTCCATGCGTAAGAAATTATAAATATACTTTTGGCGTTAAAAATATTTACAGTATGCACCAAAATCATTATTTACCATTAAATATTGGTTTTTGTATTATCCAACCAAGAAAAACAGACTACATGCAAGGGTATTAACAGTCACAAGAATATATACTTAATTACTAAGAAAAATAAGAAACATGCTGAATTAGAATAATTATAGCAAATTATAAAAAAGGACTGACAGCTGATATACACATAGCAATAATAATAATAGCCACAAATATATATTATTAATAAGTTTTACGGGTTTAATAGTAGTAACGCCTCCTCCACAATCTGGAACTGATTGGAAAATTTGGAATAAGATTTTTAACGCCATTTTGAATTATACTTCAAACTTTATGACAAAGTAAACTAGGTTCTATAGGAACTTATCATTGCCTTTTTAATAGTTTTTTACCACTTTAATCTTAGTATAATCTGTATTATCAGAGAGCTATGTAAATATATTAATCCCTTTAACATTGCAAACTGACACCAATTTTTTCATCCAATGTTACTTTTAAAATTTTAATTTAATTAGTTGTATTCACGGAATAGAAAATACAGTGGAAGTGCCGCTCAAACATCGCGCGCTAACCAACATGATGAGTAGATATACAACATTTTGGCACATTTGTTGTCAGAATCGTTCGATCCGTTGTCATGATTGGTTGTCATGGTTGTCTCTAAGAAACACGAAATATATTAGAAATTATGCCTTGTTGTGCGGTTTTCAACTGCAAAAAAGTAAGCAGAAAAAAAGATGAGTCTTGTGGTGGTGTATCGTATCATCTTTGAGTATTAACCTTTGTTAATTTTAAATATATTTGATTTTAATGTAAATATAACATTTCATTACTTCAATGCAAACTATAAAGGGCCTTATTTTCATTACAATTAAGTTTAAATCTACTTCTTCGTTATGTGACGTTATATACAATACATTCTAGTAGTTTCGACGCTACTCATTTAGGGATGCGACATATTCGTAAAATAGGTTCATATCGATAATTTTTCATCATCATCGTTCAGAAAATTGATTTTTGACAATTTTTGTGTATAATTCATAAATGTTTAACTAAGATTGCATAGACACATCAACGTTTTAACCACACACAGCGTGCATCCGTCTGTGGCAGGTGCGGGTGGTTAATCACCATTTTTATTTTATAACTAGTTTTCGCCAGCGGCTTCGCCCGCGTGCTGTGTTGATAAAAAGCAGCAAATAGCAATAGAACAAAATCTAAGTATACATAAAATTTGGTATTTATCGTCTCATTTTTACGGGTACATCTCCAATGGGTAAATACCCTATTACTTACTAAGTCTCCGCAGTCCGTCCGTCAATAGATAGAAAGGTACGGATCTAACTAATAGGTAAGAGTTACAAATATTTGATAAAACCTATATTATATTATATTTTATACCGCATCGTGTCGAGCACGGCAACCGCTACACAAAAATAATTCTTATACCATGATTCAGTGTTCACTTGCGACGGCGCTATGTCTTATTATCCGAATTGCTAAGCTATCAAGAGTTTCACGTGCTATTGTGAGTTAACCATAGAAGATAGACATATGGTGTAAAACATTTTTTTTAGACAATTTTATTTAAAATATTGCGGTCATACATAATTTCTATGTAAGTTTAACCATTAAGGTAACACACGCGACTGAAACTTACAAAAGGGAGTAACTTCTCCCGTTTTCCCAACATTTTCCTTCACTGCTCTGCTCCTATTATTTGTAGCGTGATGAAAAGTATCCTATAACCTGCCCAGGAGTACCTATAAAGAATAATTGTACCAAGTTTTGTTAAAATCCGTCGAGTAGTTTTTGTTTCTATAAACAACATACAGACAGACAGACAGACAGACAAAATTTTTACTGATTGCTTTTTTGGCATCAGTATCGATCACTAATCACCCCCTGGTAGTTATTTTGAAAATATATTTAATGTACAGAATTGACCCCTCTACAGATTTTTTATAAGTATAGATATAGATGTTGTACATGATTTTTATCAGAGTTCCAAAAAGGAGAGTGACTCTCAATTCGACTGTAACATTTTTTTTTGGTTTTTTCGTCTCCGTTACTTATGAACCGATTTTAATGATTCTATATTAGTTGGAAAGGAGATAAAACTTGTAGGAGCGCGTAGTGCTTTTATATGTTAAAATCGAAATCTTTAATAATAACTTGACCATCTCCAAAAAACATTAAATCTTCAAAAAATATGTTAATATTTTTATTTTTTTCTATTAGAACCTTTTTCATTACTGATCATTTGTAGGTATATCGTGTCGATAAATTATATTGCTCACACGAATACAAAAACATCGATATATTGGGATACCCTGCCCTATCTGAGTAGCAAAATAGTAAATGTCTATTGGTACAAGTGCATACAAATATGACATCTATTTCAAAGAACTTAGCGTTTTGAATAGAATGAATTTGTTACAGCGCCATCTAGCGTTGAGTGGCTGAACCCGTTTGTAAATTGTTTTATTTAAGTTTTTTACACGATAGACGCCTTTATTGATTGTGACATGTGAAATGATAACAACTTCCGCTCATTGTTATAAGACTCAATTTTTAACAACATTTAGAAGATGATTTGCTAAAGTTGCGTTTCAACTTTTTACCCAATTATATAGCTGTTTTTTATGTGTGTAATGGACAATTTGATTTGCGAATGTGTGATTTTGGCGACACTGGTTTTCCTTTTGAAAGAGTGTAGGGGCACTTCTACTTAATTTTCTGTTCTGTGGTTGTATTACAAAAGATTTAAGTACTGTAGTATCGAGTTACCAAGTATTATTTAAAAGTTAAGTTAGACCTGTTCTCTTTCCCAAGACAGGTCTATATTACATGGTTATAAATAACAACTAGTAGAACTAGCAAGGTTAGTCGCACAGAGACCAGCATGTCAAGATACCCGAAACTGTCATGTTTCGTAATTTAAACATAAACTCTATTGTAAATAAATAAAGTTGAAAATCTTTTAATATTTTGAGAGCTATCGGACCAATAGGCACCCCAATCCCTTGAACCCCAAGAGTTATACTCGCAACTCTTATGAATACTGCGATGTCCATGGGGAGCACAGATCGCTTAACAGTTGTACACTCACAAATATATTTAAAGACTAGCCATTCTCGCGCTGTTTCACCCGGTGCTCGGCTCCATTTAATCGTAACGTGATGTTTTAGTGTGAGTGACAGTGATAGAATTTTGCAAATCCGACCAGTGGTTCCAAAGATTACCCCTTACATACAAACTTACAAATTTTACCTCTTTATAATATTAATATAGATGAAATTACATCAAAAATCTTTGCTTTGATTAAGGTTTCGGCTGAACTTCTATGTAAAATTGTCAAAAAAAATCGCCCTTAATTGTAGGATAGGTCGGCAAACAAGGAGAACGGATCACCTGATCTCTCCACACGTAAAAAATTAAGAATTTATAGGTACACTAGCGGCGTTTTTTGGATTGTTAGAGATTTAAAGATAGATCGAGGACAGAGGCGGAATAATAGAGAGTTCGGTAACCTCACTCAAAGGCAAAACACAACGTGACGTGTTTTACGCCGGCGTTCTATACACACGTATGTATTGGTACCACTTCGAAAGAGCCACTAACCACACTACTCGACGTTCAAGGCTGAAATTATTCTTTCATTTGAAACGAGAGCCAATTTTTTCCTATCTTGACGTATTTTAACAAATTTCGACAGTTTAGGTGTAGTTTGACATGTTGTTATCTATGCTATGGACTTGAGAGTTGGGGTGAGTTTGTAGAATAGGTTCGTGTGTTTACCTGGAGGTTAAGGTGAGAGGGCTGGCGGCGGTTCGTATGGGACGGCGGGAGGCCGGCCGCACTGAGCTCGGACGGCGCCCTGACACCTCACTACTTGTACTGCAACGTATACCATGCTAGCTAACTACTGAACGAGACGGTTCTACTGACACTTGAAATATCTATAATGAGGTTTCAATCTCGATTTATTTGAGATGCAACCTTTTTTGTTTTGCCACCTTTTACTGTACTTTTAACATTGCTAATTGTTTTAAGATCGCACCAAACGTATTTTTTTAATGGGAGAGGCCTGCCTCAACGCTCCATAACGCAGAAACTCCTGTAAGCCAGGATCTACAGCAGATACAATGATGAAAACACCGGAACACTGAAGTCCGGCGCGTCCCTGGGACATGAATCACTGTCTTGGATCCCGCAACGAAATAAATCAAAAGATATTTTGCACCAAATACACGCTATAGTCAAAGATGATAAGTGTATTTATGTATTTCATTGTCAACATATAATAATAATTATTAATTATTAATTAAATTATTAGTGTCATTGTAGTAAATGTACATTCCCTTCAATGAAAAATATTTTAATTAATTATTAATTGAATTATTAGTGTCATTCTAAATGTACATTCCCTTCAAAAAAAATATTTCCCTTTCTCCTCTGTAATTTGTACTCAGATAAAAGTTTCGAGAAAAAAACTATTAGCTATATTATTATACTCTCTATTTCAATGCATATACAAGTGTATTTCCTTTAATTACGAAATCAAAGCATTTTTCGGATACAAAATACAATTGAAATTATCCAACCTTCTTTTCACTAAGTTTAGTGTATTTTACGAAAGCATATTGTGGCAAAACGTGTCGTCAGTATAACCGCCTCTAGTACAAATAATAATAATAAACGAAAAATATATATAAAATATAGAAAAAGAAGCCACATTAACCAAAGAAAGGCACACATACATGCTAGCAACTACTCAGACATAAACTACATAAAAATATTTAACATAATGTGCTAAAAGAAAATATCTATAATATCTCTATAATATCTCTTATTGACTTCTTCTACACTAAACATTGACTAAATACAAATAGAAAAATGAACACTGTAACTATAGGAGCTATTTTTGATTGATTATGTCTTTGTGAGCTGGAATCTTCTTCAAGTCTGCTCCTTTACTGATTCATGATAAGAATCATGTTGTATAAATACCTATTAGTTAAGACTAACTTGGCTAAAGACTGTAGAAATATAAGTTTTTCTTAATAAACATGATATTATTATTACTTTTGACGAATTTGTGTAAATATTTACATCATTTAGTCTTAATAGACCAAATATCTTTGGTTAAATAAAATCTTTTTACATTTAAACTGAATGAAATCTCTTGGCTAAACTGACAGCCATCGTAACAGAAGTTCAAAAACCAATTACATGCAACTTTGGAAGTGACTTGGTCCTTATAACTATTACACCTACACAAAAAACAGTAAGCACTTATATTTCTACAGTACAAAGGCGACTTTATGTAAATACAAACAGGGTGTATTAGTGTAACTCACTTGGGTACTTGTATAGCTGGGGGTGGGGCGGGCAGGGCGAGACGTTGAGGCTCGCGACGGGCGGCTTGTATGGCGGGGCGACCACGAACGTTGCCATTGCCAGCTTTGTATTGGAACTCCCTGAAAAAAACGATAAATAAATTAGAATATCGATGTTGTATTTTTAACACTAGGATTTCAAATACACATGACACACAGACCCGAAACAACAATTTGTGGATCACACAAAGTGTTGTTCCGTGCGGGAATCGAACCCGCGACACGTCGCACGGCAGCCAGTTGCCCAGCCACCGCGCCAACCGTGCAGTCAAAATTATTCATGATATCTACTTTTATAATTTTGGAAACTCTTTTTTTATGTTTGTTTTTGTCAGAAGATTTTAATGAAAGAAAATTCGAAAGAAAAATTGAGAAATAGCGACCCTTTTCGACATAATTTTACACCCGGGCGCAGCAGGTGAGAGCAGTTAGTTTGAAATAAAACAACATGATCTCTTCAAACACAAAACAGGACTAACTTCTTTATTATAATGGCTAAATATAGATATAGGAAAACATATTATTGTTGTACATAACTGTTAAGAGAGGGCGCTGATATATATTTTGAGGATAACACTGAGCAAACAGAGAAATTTGAGCATTGAGAGAGGGGAAACAAGAGGAGTATCAGACTCTTACTACTGACTAAAAACCACCCTGTTACTTCTCCTGCTCCAGGTCGGAGCCGCCTTAACGCGCTTGACCCTCCACCCCGGATCAGTGCTATGCTGCTTGCTTTTCTTCGAAAAATTTATCCACCGTCCTTTGGTATTCTTCCGTTCCATCCTTCCCAGTTTAAATTTAGTACTCACATCACCACAATACATGCCAATTGGGTATTTGGGGTAACGATAGCATATTAAAAGTAACAATCACAAGTTGACACAATAAATGCATTTTAGCACACCATACATGAAACGCATTTTTAAAACACAAACATTAAATATTTCTTAAAGACGCGTTAACATATACATTAGCATAAAACAAATAGTCTGAAAACCTTTTTAAATATTAATAATACCTAAAACCTTTTTGCTTCCCAGACTGTTCTTTTTATTTCCTCGGCCATTTATTATAATGGCCAATAGTAATCGTCACAACAATCATCAGATGCCATTTAGGTATTACACTTGAAAAACACCTTACATCATACACCTTAGTCATTAAAACTCAAACAGACTCATCCGACATAGTAAATTAAACCTTACACCAAAGTATTAAAATATAAAATTACCTGTCGAAGTCCTCAGCCTCTTCTTCGTCCAGGTTGATAAACTCCTGTCGCTCTTCAGCATCGCCTGTGTAATAGTTTTGCTCCCTTTCTATCAGGTGTGCCCTTTCGCCAATGTGATGACCTGGAATTTATAAATAAAAGAATTTAAGTTTTGTTTATTACTTATCGAAAGACAACATTAAATAAAATACATATACTGAACATCCGAGAAACGCTCTACTAGTTTCAAGTCATAGCGGGACTCATAACCATGTGTGGCACGCGCTGTGTAACGCATTAATTCATTTCATTATGACATCAGAAGTAGTTCCATAACATTAGAACCGATTTTCGTTGTTGAATAGATAAAGAGCCACGTTATTTGAATAATTATGTACAGATAGGTAATTTTGTCTTTATTCTTCAATTTAATTATAGTAAATTCATTTCTTTCATATTAGGGTTAACCCTAACAAGTTTTGGTATAAATAAATAAATGAATATTATTTCTAAAGAGTATATCACTTTAGAGAAGACCTAGAATTCATTGAAACTAGGTACTTCAAAATCGAAAACTAAGTAAACGATTGCGCAGAAGTACCATAGGTACTGTTAAAACCACCCTATAGGAAAAAAAGAGCCCACGACGATACCACCCCAGGGAAACGTATAACAAAAAAAAACCACAAAAATACCGTTCGTATTCATCAAGAACCCTTTTCGGTGCAATTTTTTTTTTTACCTGTTTATTGAAAATTTAAGGTTTTCCTTGTTTCGTCAACGTGTAAGCTTTCATAAAACAAAAGTCACGTGGTTTGGGTTGGTCGCCACGTGACATCGGTTCGAAATGACTTATTGAACTGGTCAGCGTGACGACGTTTAAAAAAAATGTCGATAGAGTGACAGTGATGAAATTGTTGGTGCAGTATGGGAGTTTATGCCAAGTAGTAAAACTTTATAAGCTGATGTGATGAATGTTAATATTATGTACCTACCGTTGCTAGCAATTTATCTTGATTTGTTCAATAAATCATTTTATGTACATAGTTGCAAGGTGTAGGAAGGTACAATGAAACAATGAATTTATTTCTGCAAGTAGGCCATAAAACAGCACTTTGACACGTCAGAATTATATATAAAAAAACTAGATAAATATACGACTATATAGTCATGGAAAATGTTAACAAAATCTTGTTTATTTATTTATACTTTTTTTGTCACGTGTGTAAGAGTAATATATGCCTATTTCTTCTATCGAACAACTGCAGGAACAGATTTTAACAGGAATACCTACATGTACTAAAAGTTAGTAATATATCTTTATATATAAAAATAGATCGCAAAATGTGTTGGTAAGCGCATAACTCAACAACGCCTGGACCAATTTTGCTAATTCTTTTTTTGTTGTGTTTTTTATTGTCAGGAGAAGGTTCTTATCAAACAAAATATTAGAAAAGTAGAGAAGAAGATTAGGAAAAAGTGACCTTTTGATAGCGAGATAGCTGGACCCGTGCGAAGCGGGGGCGGCCCGCTAGTTTTTCTATATGTATGTTGTGTATAAATAAACAAAGAAACTAGTGAGAAATGGACAAGACCACATTGTGGCTTTCTTTCTTAAATATACCTAGCCTTGCAAACGAGGACAATAGGTAAATTTCGGCTCGCCGATCCAACGCAGCGCCTAACACATTAACTGCATAAAAAGTAAACACCTATCTTAATTTAAATACTTAGCCGTAACTGTACTGACGGCAGGAATTCAACATACTCAAATCCAATCCTTGTCATTGGATTTGAGACTTTATATCATAACAATAAATAAACAAATCAAATAGTGATTAGGTTTACCTACTGGTGTTAGTTCTAAGAGTACAAAAACATGGGAAATTGATGAGAAATATTCAATTGACCCTGAACAGAATAGGTAATTTATTTGCATAAGCTTCGGTCTGAGTTATTGTATGAAGTGTTGTATTCTCACAATAGATGCTTGCGATCGACGATAGCAATCTAGAATAATTTCTGTAGATAAAATATTGGCATAGCCTACATGCACTTACATCATTTTACCAATTCTGTTCAATATGTCATTTACATGTATTGTATAAGGTTTATTGGAAGTCACATTCGACTTATTTGATAACCAGAATTTTTTTTATGAGTACTGGAACATTTTTTGAAATATATTTTCATATTATATAAACATGCGAAATGCCTTAATCTTTCATAAAATCCTTTAAAAATAATTAATGTTTACACTGTGGTCATTTGATTTCCAAAAATGTCAAGAGGCACGTACGACGCTATATGCCTACATACATTATTTTATTCTTTAAAAATGTAGGTACTTTAAACGTAGAGAGTATTGCCTAACCTATGTATCGTCCCAGCTTATGTGATCGAAATAATTTATAGATACAAATCTACAAGATGATAACAACTTATAAAAGGTAACTACAATCCAATTAAGGATAAACTAATTACGAAAAGCTGTTCTATCGAGAATTTAACCATTAAAAAACCCACAATGAACCTGTATTTTTCCAAGACTGTTTAAAAACCCATAACTTCACGTTTCGCAGCAGAAAATCCTAGCTTTCTTTATTAACTATTCTTAAACCATGATATAGGTAGCAGTATGAAATAAACATAAGTACATTACTTATTAATATGCACAAAACTTTTTTTACGTGGTTGGGCGGCAATCGAGCAGACGTTTTACCTGATGATAAATGATAAGCAATCAGTGCCGCCCATGGACCCTCTCAGCAATGGAGGAGTCACGAGTGTACCTACGCTTAGTAACTTAGGCGTATTCGAAATCAACAAAATGGTTTTCTTCAATATCCATAATAGTTAGGCTAGACTCTATATAGAGATTCCATAGACAAAACACATACATATAAAAACTTCACCTACGCATACACAAATAAACAAGACACTGAATAAGAGTTGAAAAAAACCAAGTAATTGCGTCACCCTCGTTTATTAATAGACAGAGGAGAATGACTTCAGTTGCGGAGGTGCCACTGACTGGAAAAATACACGTGGAATACAAACATACCTATATCTAACTGGGAAATAAATGGTTAGAGAAACTTCATTGGTTTTTCTATCATCCCTGTATTATGGACACATGCAACTATCAAAGACTAGTTTAACATTTAAATTGTTAAATTTAGTAGGTACAAAACTTTGGAAAAAGAGTTGTGTTTAATGATAAGCAGTAGGTATAACAAAATTGATATAGGTACCAAAACATCAAATCTTTTTCAAGCTAAATTTTTAGAAATAATTATGCTGCAGAATTGGCGTTACAATTTTAACTCAAAAACCCATAAAAAAAAATAACGACCTTTGTAATTTTCCAAACTTTTTTGGAAATAGCACGTTGTGACGTCATATTTTTTTACGAAATCGTTTTGAATCCCACTTTCTACCTAAACATACGAACAGTACTTAAATCTTCAAATTAATGAATAAAGGTATAATACTTTTAAATTGGTTTTGCCATTATTTGGGATAGGATAGGATTGCAGTCAATTTGAATAGTTGGAAACTACATTGTACTATGTCTTCCATTCGCTAATGAGGTAAGGCGAGACGAGAGGCAAGGCTTACGAGGGGAAAATAGGCAATCACGAACATTTTCACTTGAAAACACATTAACCTAGTTTTTGCTGAAATATGTATATGTATACATCTTACTATGAAAATACCAGCACGATGTGATGACAAACTCTTTTACAAAAGGGGAAGGGCGGTTAAGCAAGAAACGGAAAACGACAAAGGTGTGGTCAGCATTTCAACTGAACATTACACAATGCATTTTTGAGGTCTCATTTTACTGCTTTACAAGAATCATAAAATGTTAATACTTCAAAACATGATTATAATTTTAATGAGAGGTCCTGCGTGAAATTCTTCTGGCATGAGTCAACATAACTTAGGTGAAAACATTTGGCGTCGGAATATGCTTTGAACGCCAGACCAGCGTAAAAATTTTTAGATAAATCTGCAATGTTCAAACTGCTCCAGAAATCTTAGTCTACAATTTGGCAGTTAAAAAATCACTTTAAAAGTACATCGCTAAGTAGGACGTCCCATATTAAGCTGAATCCAAATTATTAGAATTAGAATAAACTGCTTTCTAAGCATTACTGAGTATTTTATTGAAATAAAAAACAGTACCTATAGAATTGAAACTGTCATGTTATCGAATTCTTAAATAAAAGGTACATAAATAATAATAAATATATATATATACCTATAAATAGTCTATCTCGTCCACTTATTTCGTAGACAGAAGAAGAGGTTTTATTCTACCAATAAATGATAAGGCATAAAAAATAGAAACACTACTGAACTATGAGTAATGTTAAACTATTTGTCACTCCCGACTAATGATCATCATTCATCGTAATTACTGCCACCGTATCTAAAATAAGACTACGCCAGACAGGAATAACTTCAACTATTAGCTACCTGTTTCTATTTCAGTCTACAGTTTTTTTTTTCATTGTTTTATGAGATAAATAATACTTCATTTAATCCCTAAAGGACATAGTAAAAAGGTCTGTACAGTTTTACAATGTCACATGCACTTTTTAGCACTTATTTTATGCGTCGTATGTAGGAGTCAGCCAATTTCCATAATCCAGGTACAAAATTCAAACCCTGATCTATTGCTGATACAATTATCAATAGCTCATCAAGCAGCCGTATTTCCAACCACTCCCCAACAATTGTATGAGACTAGCGACCCGCCCCAGCTTCGCAAGGGTGCAATGCTAATACAAAATTTCGCCACTATTGAATTGATGTTAGTATACATATAAACCTTCCTCTTCAATCACTCTAACTGTTAATAAAAAACCGCTTCAAAATCCGTTTATCATCATCAGCCTATAAGCGCCCACTGCTGAGCAAAGGCCTCTTCTCATACGGAGAAGGTTAGAGCATTAATCACCACCCTTGCTCAATGCGGGTTGGCGATTTCAAACTTATAATTAGAAATTATAAGTCCAGGTTTCCTCACGATGTTTACCTTCACCTTATGTCAGTGGTGTTTAAATAATCTTAGAAAGTACATATAACTCGGGAAAAGTCACATTGGTACTTGCCAGGTTTCGAACCCTTATGCATGAGAAGCGGGCTCCGTAATCTCCGGGCCACCACGACCTTTTCAAAATTCGTTGCGTAGTTTTAAAAATCTAAGCAGAAAGGGATATAGGGACAGAAAAACGACTGTTTTATACAATGTAGTGAAGTGATACAGATTACACTAATTCAAGAATTAGTCTTTATTCACAACCCCACCTGGAGTTAAGCAATGATCCAGCTCAATGTTAGTAACCCATTCACTCAGGACATATGCACTTTACAACGAGCAAATAACTTGGACAAAGAAATCTTTTAGTCAATACATTGTATTCAGACGTTTCCTTTTGTAGTCTTATTGAAATAAGTGCATTGATATTGCGCTTTTGTGTGCGAAGCGAAAAATAGGTGTAAGGGTCATAGCCGGCTGACAAGGTTCAGGACTTCAGGATAAAGTGCAAGGATGTACCACAGCCAGTACTCAGACATGGCACACATTTTTAGTCAGTAAATGTGTGTCAAGTCTGTAGTTATTGCTAAATGATTTATTTACAATGCTATAAAACATTAACAATAAATCAAACGAAACAAAGGCAAAATGTATGCTAAAATAAAAAAGATTATTTTATTTCCAACTTTAAACCACAAAGACCACATGCATATTCAATTTATAATAAAAAAAAATATTCAAATTAATTATCTACTTACATTCATTGTAATTTATCATATTGGAATGCTATTTTGCTAAAGTAAAGCGAAGATTGTGATAGACGAAAATAAAAAAAAAATACGGGGTAATATTAAGGAAACTATACTTACTTCCCCTTTTTAAAAAATTCTTTTAGGTCTTGTGGCAGTTTGTTAACAAAACAAATGACTGAGACCCATACAAAGCAGGGTCAACCAATAGTTATCATGTAAAACATAAGTAAACATCTATCTTCCTATTTACCATCTTAATTCATCAAACCTTAAGCAGACACTGGCATTTGTGAACCTATTGTGTTTCTTGAATTACCAGGACTGACAGAATAATTATAATAAGCTTATAGGTATCTTGTGTGTGATACATATTCTATAACTCACCAATAGCCATTTTCTTGGTGCCAGTGCGAGAGTCCTGCACCGTCTTGCATGTCTCCTTAATGCCGTTTGGACCAATCTTTGTGCTGCTGGTGGAACTGAATACCTGCAACAGCATCATCACTTTAATTTCGACTGCAAGTACAGATAACAGCATATTTTATGGAGTATTCTGAATACTCCATAAAGTATGTCAAGGTTTTGTTTTGCTCCTCACTAGTATCACCATGTGTTGTGGTTGCATTAAAAACATAAGTATAATTTAATATGGGCTAGGAACAACAATTTGTGCATTAACAGATGGTGTGGTTTCATGAGGGAATTGAACTGTGACATGTTGCACAGCAAACCGTTACCCAGCCATCGTGGCAATCAAGTAAAGCCAGTATTGATTGATTGAATGATAAACTGATTTAAAGCCTAATTTATTAATATTACCTGTGGCTTTCCGCCAGGTCCGCTGGACATGACAACCGTGCTGCTGCTGAAGGAGCTACCAGGAACATGATGCATGTTGCCACTGCCCATATCTATTGCAAAATTAATTATATAAAGTATTTAATTTAAATTTCTATGGATAGATGCATGTTTATTACTCTTTCATGTAAAAACTATGAAACCAATCCAACTGAATTTTATAGACTGGAATACCAAATAGGCTCCTGTTTACCATATTATTAAAGGCTACAGGCCTTTAATTACCATATTATTAAAGGCTACAGGCACGGAGTAAGAACAAAGAGGAGACGGCCTAAACAACTCGGCCCTGTGACACAAGTCGGCCCTCACGTCATCAATGTGGGCGTGGCTTACGTCAGTGAATTGTGGTCGTTCGTCCTGTGCACAACTCCTATAAAATATTCATTTTACTCGTGACAGAAGAAAACAAAATGAAGTCTTGTGTTTTATCTTGTAAAAAATACTATGATAAACGTTACGGTGCAATGGATGGCATCACTTTTCATGTATAAGTTATTTTATTCGTCATTTATTAAAATAGTTCTAGCAAAGTCTCTTATTATCAGCGTTTCCAATTATCAATCTACGCGACACTAGATGTCGACACTTTGTATCATAGAAACAAAATATTTATAGGTACGCATATTTCAGTATTAGTATATTTTAATGATCGTTTGTATAGTAATTTGATCGACATGCATTCCTAAAGATCCTTTAATCGCCAAAATATTATTTATGTAACTTTTATATCATTTTATAAACAGACTGCCATCTATTGTCAAGTAGTAAAACATAAATAAAGACAGGGCAGTAATTAGAAGTCAATTACTTTTTAAGGTTTATAGGTATCGTTGATTTATTTAAGTCGCGAATGGAATCACTCAAATTTAGCGCACCTCACCGCACGCTGTGAGTGCTAAATCTTAGTGCCTGAGTGTTTGAAACTGAACGACCTTATTATATTTATTTTTTTATTATACCTATAAAGTTCCTCTTCGGTTTTTATTTCAACCCCAAATTAAAGGCATCAGGACTTGGATCATACAAGTCAGATATGTATCGCCGCGCCGGTAAGCCTATGAAATGCCCACAACATACTTACTCTGTCCTTCGTACATATCTTTTTGTTCCATTGTTCGTTTATTTCGAAATATGTCGTCACATTAGGGCAGGTTTTGTTCGTTTTTCATGGTAAATAGTACCTATGACAGTCGTGAAGATAATTAGGATGTGTTATATATGAAGAATCTGGCGGTATTATTAACTTTGGAATAGCATTTAACATACCACTAGTTAATTAGATGTAATGTTCGTTATTGTTCCAAAATATTGTTGAGTTATTGTTTTGTGTTTTTATGATCCAAAATATTGTTGATGTAAAATGCCATTAATTTTCAATAATATATCTTTTGACTCGTTTAGAGTTTTACATAGCAAACGATAACATTTTTTTTTTTGTTAAATGAACATAATAATATGTTTTTGATTATATTTTATGATATACTTGAACGTAGTGAAGCACGTATCGGGCCGCTAGTAGTTTTATCGTAGATAGAGGTCTTGTCCCTTCAAGACCTATGAAGATACACTTGGAGTCTTTTATTTCGTCGACGCATCCTTGATTCGTATGTTTGAAGATGGCACCAGTCTAAACGCATATGCCGTTCCAAGTTACACATTAGTAAAGTAATGGCATATCTAATAATAACACTCGTTATCACAAAAAACCAGCTATCAGCAGGGCATCAGCCTCTTGGTAGCATTGTAGGTATATGAGTTTCTGCTTCAGGCTAGGCCCGTAACGAAATAACCCCTTTTAAATGAAAAAGATGGTTTTGATAAATGTATAATGATTCTCATTCACCAATAATAAATATTTTAGATATTTATTACTATTTCGATAGAAAAATGCGTATCAAGATGATTCGCAAATGTATTTACAAAAAACTTTTTAAAACAACTCCCCGGTAAGTTCTAAGTACGACCCTGTTGTGTTAGTGACATCTATTGTGAAATAGTTACATAACTACAAAAAGAAGTAAATTGAATGAGCGAGTAGTATTGCTATAGACCGGCAGATGGCAAATAAAAAAGTGGGCGGAGTCTAATACCCCCTCACCCCGCAAAATATCACGCGGTGTTTCTTAGGGAAATCTTATTATGACATCTCCTCTTTGTTCTTACTCCGTGGCTACAGGCCTTTACTAATATGGTAACATAGGCAAGTAGAGTAATAATTGTTTAATAACCTTTTGAACACCATTGTCGGCTATAGAATACTAATACAAAATAGGCTAGATTTGCCAATGTTAAACATAGCTGACCAAAATTTGACATAATTCAGTACATTTTGTTTGTTTTATCTTGGTCTATCGCCACAGCATTCAAAATGTTAATCTTCGATACTAGATGTTGAATTGTTTGCCCTTGAATATTAGGGACTATGAACAAGATTTAGGGTGTAAATTACTAACTAATTATCTGACATACTGCTGATATCTACCCTGAGTTAATCCTCATTGGTCATGCTTGTGCAATAGAGAAATCATTGTTTTTTATGGCAGGTTACTTACTAACTTTGATATGACAATATTATATTTCATTTAAACAAGTCTAAATACTTAATATTAAGGACAAGAAAGAAAATGATAAAATAGTAATACAGACTCGATATCATCAAGAATAAAAAAAAATATCTGCATGAATATACAGACTATGTGGAAACATGTCGGAATATGGAATAAAACCCGTTGAATCATAATAGAACACTCACCAGTAAAAAGTCTATTCAGTGCAGGCATCTGAGGCATGAAAGGCATCATTGCATTAGAATGACGAGGGCCCATGATGGATAGAGGACCCTCACCTCCAAACATGCCGAAGGGATCCGCGAACAAGGAGTTCATCATATTGTTCATCTGGCGCATTTGTCGCATGTGAGATCTAAAGAAAAGGTTAACCAAAATTGGAAAATGTTTAATTACAAATGTACCAATGTTTTTGTATAACCAGATGTCCTCCATATCTCGGTGAATGTTGTATTTCAAGGGTATTACCACACTTAACAAAAATTTAGGTGAGATTCGTCAATTTGCTTATGAAATGCAATTAATAATAAGCAGATTTTTACCCGAAAAATGGATCATCCTCCACGTCGCCCATCAATGATCCAAAGAGAGACATCTTTGTTGATAATTCACCAAAATCAACAATCACTGTCTGAAGTTTAATACAATTTATACACTTCAAAAATCACCAACGCCACTAACGTTCAAATAACTTGTTTCACGTTTAGCAAAAATCACGTCGAAATCTCTAGCAAATCGCGGACTCGTCAAACCAACAAACACTTCGACCGTAGACAGACAGTTCAACTTTTTTTTTACGAAGACAACAAGCAAGGCAAGTCAATGACAAATACCATAGACTATAACATCAAATTGTCATTATTGATTTCTTCACGACCGCTTTTTTTTGCTGGCAATGTAATATTTTTACCGGATTTTAAACCATACTTTCCATGCTATGTATTAGGCTAAGAACTCACGGAGCGATTTTCGCCCGCGTCCGCTGCGGTTGCGGGCCCGCAGCTTCTGTAGAATTCAAATATTTATATAAAAAATTGAAGCACATTTTCACGACGCGTTTTACGCCCGCGGTGTACGCGGTTGTATGCGGCTCCCGCTGTACCAGCGGGCAACTAGTAGAATCGCATGGGCCGCGGTTACCCCATATCGCGGATCATCGCCCGCCACGTTTGCGGGCGATGATCGCAACCGCGGCGGCTGTGTAACCGCGCAAATAACCGGTCTCGTGAGTTTGGAAATATAACCGCAGTTCCGCTACCGCGGCGGGCACGGTTCAAAATCGCTCCGTGAGTTCTTAGCCTTACTTAGCTATAAAACTATGAAAAAACCATTTTGAAATAATAGTCGTTCACGCATTTTAGTAACGTTAACATTTATTTTGTATTTTAACAATTAAGTACTAACTTCATAATAAATTACCTTTACCATTTACGCTCTAATACAATTCACGATCACTTTAGTAAAACAAACCAAATGTCATTGAGAATAATAGACAATAATAATAAATTAATTTTTTCACCACAAACGCATTTCAAACCACGAACGAAAAGCAAACCACAAACCAAATTCAGCAAAGATTATGATTAAACTTTGTTTCGATAACGATATGCAGCTGGAATGAATGGTGCAGGAGTAGCTCCATGGAAAGACCAAGCAGCCGATGTTACATACGCCGTAAAGGTTTGATCTTGTAAGCCGTTTCGAACTTTTGAACGGTTTGCAGGTGTCTGAAAGGTAAATATTACGTGAGAATCTATTCATTTGCACAGTAAAATCCATAAAAACTCAGCATATTTATAAAAATCAAACGTTTGAAATTAGAAGAAATACCTTTTCAGTTTCAGAAGGGGGTTTGTTTGACAGTGGAATATCTCCAACTTGACTAGGTTTTAGTACATCCACACTAGCAGGACCGTTCGCCTCCATATTGTTATTTGCAACGTTATCTCCGCCAACCCTTTCAATATGGGCTTGACGATTATTGTTATCTTTGGAAATATTAAGATGACCATCGGAATAAGAATGTCCGTTGTTAGGGGATTTCACATTCTGCTGTGTATATGATTGAGAGCCTTTATATTGATTGTAAATATGTTGTAACTGGCTTTTACTTGGATTTCTGCCAACAGGACGATTTCCAATAAGTGAAGTTTTGCTCACAGTCGACTTCACATTACTATATCTGCCTGGATCAGTTCTTGTAATCGACTGAGGCGATAAAGTTTGCGGTAGACTCGGTTCTGGAAAACGATAAACATCCGCCGGAAGCATTTCAACTGGTTGACCCAAAGTATTGTAGTGATATATTTTTTGAGGATTAGTAGGTGGCATATTCTTAGAAGTATCCGCGGGAAATATAGGCTCTTTAATCATTTGTTGCATAGTTGGAGGCGGCGATCGAGTAGGCGGTGAGCCTTCTGGACTGGGCGTAAAATCTTCTGAATTTTCGTATACTGTCGGAAGATTACCGGAGACAGCCGCTCCTGTATTAGGATCCACCATTTGCTGCTGCTGCTGTTGTTGTTGTTGTTGATATTGTTGTAAGGGTACTTGTCCTTGAGGTACTTGTTGCTGGTGGGTTGTTGGATCACCAGTAAGAGCAGTATATACTTGTTGTTGCGGTACTTGCTGATTATAAACAGGTACGGCTCCAACATTACCACCAGGCTGAGCAGTTGAAGGAAGAGCATTTTGTTGATTAGGGGCTTGATTTACTGGTTGTTGAGTTAAATTAGTCATCGCCGCGTTTGTGGCGTTTATAACAGGTTGTAAAAGTGAAGGATTTAATTTGTTGCCACTATTACTCATCATCATTTTCTGCATAGTATCCATAGCAGCCCTTTGCTGATTCGCTGGATTCATCTGAATAGCAATTGCCATGGGATCAAATCCAAGATCTCCTCCTTGCATTACGCCTGGGAACATTTCATTAAATTTTGTAATACCCGCATTGTGCTGACCATAAACATTATGGGCATTCATTGGTTGGCCTTTCTGCTGTGAGCCAGGGTTCATTTGATTGATATTCCGGTTCATGGGGTTCCCTTGTATGTCTGCATTGCCGCCAGCATACATGTTTGGCTGTGACATGTATTGATTTGGATTTTGCATTTGAGCTCCTGGATTTCCTTGCATCATGTTATTATTAAACTGTCCTGGGCTGCCAGATGTCCCCGAATTATACTGGCCTGGATAACCATTTATATTCGAGGACATATTCATTTCGGGTGATAGCGCACCAACATTGCCCATACCTCCTTGAGAGCTACCCTGATTTGGGAAATTTCTAGGTTTCGTATCACCCAGCATCATATTAACAATATTAGCTCCCATTCCACCCATATGTTGGCCTGCTCCACCCATATGTTGGCCTGCTCCACCCATATGTTGGCCTGCTCCACCCATATGTTGGCCTGCTCCACCCATATGTTGGCCTGCTCCACCCATATGTTGGCCTGCTCCATCCATCGGTTGAGCCATCTGACCCAATTGCTGTTGTTGAGTACTTGCTGTACCCATTTGCATATTATTTTCCATATTGGGATTACCAAAACGCACATTCGGTCCATGAGTATGGTTCGAAATATTATTTGTATTTCCCATTCCTGGAGACATTTGGTTAGGAGATATATTTCCCATGCCACGTTGCATGGCACCCGATGCAATTGGGTTTGGATTACTAGCCTGCCCCAAACCCATTTGAGCAGCCATTGGACTGTTCATCATTGTATTATCTGGTGTTATAGATTTAAGATCATCATAAACTTCTTTAACGACTGGTTGCATCAAATTATGATTTAAATAATTGTACGTATCGGCATAGAGTTTGGGTGGATTACAAAACCCTGTGCAATTTCTGTTACCAGAAAATGGTTCCCCTGAACCTGGTGCATTATACCCGTGACATCCATGTCCCCAGCCGTGCCCATGGCAACAGCCTCGCATGCAACCATCAGGTGCCGGGCTAACAGGTGCATTTTGAAAATTGCCGTTATGGCTTGGTTGACCTGAATTCGTAAACAATTTTCCCATACACCCGCTAAAAATAATGAAAGTACAAATTAATGGACATAATCTATTTTAACGTATTTTAAAACTGATGTTTATTTAGTTCTATGTATACTGAAAAATCGTGCATGCATAAGATTTTAGATATTTTGCTAATGAAAACCTACCAATCAGCGCTTTGTAGTTGATTAACAACACTTCCAAGTTCCTTTAAAATTCTTTGCTTATCCAGAGCCATTCCAATAGTCAGTCTACTACAAATTTATAATAACACAATGTACTTAAAATTTTTATTGTTTGTTTTAATAATTCATCAAATAAAATCGAAAACCCAACTTAAATTTTGGACGTTACTAAATTAATATGTCAAAAGTGTTTTGTTTCTTTAATGGGAAGGTTATGGATGGAATAAAAAAAAATCTCAATGATGCAATCACAAAGGAGTTGGTCTTTGTTTGAAGTCCTCGTGATTTTTGTTGTTCGTTTCTAAACACTTTATTATAATGATAATAAAAAATTGTAATTAATTGCTAGGGAAAGAACACCACAAGAATTAAGTATAGTTCACTAGAAAAAATTTCTTTACTATTTCGAAACGGTAACAAGAAATCTACCAGAGGAGTGCTCCATGAGCTAGGAAAAATCTGAATGGATTCAAATGAAACTAATGAATAATTTTAATAATAATTTTTCGTCAAGTTATCTTTAAAAAAAATGTATATTCAAATTGCAGATTAAATGAAGAAAAAAGAATCATAGGCCTGTAAATATAATTTTAAAATCAATTCTATTCCCGCTTCCCATGCATCCAATGTGACTTTTGCCTACATATGTACTTTCTACGATTTTACACACTACGGATATACTGTGAAGTGTGAAGGGAAACATCGTGAGGAAACCTGGACTTACAGTCCCTAATTATAACTTTGAAATCGCCAATCCACCTTGAGCACGTATGGTGATTATTGCTTCAACCTACTCCGTGTGCAAAGAGGCCTTAGCTCAGCAGTGACCACTTTAGACTGATGATGATGATGGAAATATTATGTTTCCCTTGCCGTACAAAGATTGGTCGCGCTGTTATTGCACCCCTCTTCGAGAAGCGGCTAGAGAGACGTCACAGCACCCTCACCTTCTGTCTGATCCAGGTATTTACTGGACACGGATGTTTCAGGGGGTCCCTGTGTCAGATTCAGCGAAAGAAAATGCCTGGGGGTAATCTTTGTGAGAACCACCCGGAGGGTGACGCATCCGGTGATCGTGTGCCCTGTTTAGGCTGGGCTCCGCCGTATCCCGAGGGAAACTATCGTCAATGGTGGTCGGTCTGTTTGCGAAGCAGAGCAGCATGCTCGCAAAGAAGGAACTATCCTCCTCACGCTCCATCCAACGCAGAAAAAACTTTTGGCCTAGGGGATCGCGCGACGATAGGCTGGCCACCATAATCACACGTCATAACCGTCACGGAGGATCGCCGTCACAGATCCAGCCCACAAGGGCTAGCTGGGGTTGTGAGCAAAGCGGGTCGTAGCCCACCTCGGAACATAAGATAAGGCCCCGCCCGAGAGGCCCGAGACGGGAAGTGTTATTGAATGATCCACCCTCAAACATAGCAGAAACAAGTCCTCAGTTGAAGTACTTAGATAATTTAGTATTTTATCGTGAATATTTTATAATATCGCCAAGAAAGTGCCCCATTCTGTCCCATGGCTACGCCCATTTTCAGTCTTAGAATTTGTAGGTCTTTGGTTTGGGTATTTTAAGTACATAATATGAATATGATTTTGATACCCTACATGATAAAAAAAACAGGCGGATGCGATCATGCGACATCTGGCAGAATAAAACAGCAATTTTTCCCATTACTGACACGAAACGTCAAATACCTACCCTAAACGTCAATGATGAACCAAAAAGGTGCGGGTAGGGATATTGTGTTGGGACATGACTCGATCACCTAGTTGAATCGATTTTTAAAAAATCGAATATGTTTCGATTCTGATTAACATTATTAAATTTTTGAACTTAATTTTTATTGATCAAAATAATTTAGTAAATGAAAGTTGTCGAAACAAACTCGATTTTTTACTGAATGGACTAAAAAGGCATTTGATTTAATTGGAATCGAAACTTGATTCATAGTGAGTCGTATTTGACGTTCCCTCTGTACTACTTTTTTAAGACGTATACTTCAGACTTTTAAGAGTATTTCGCAAAGGAGACGAAGTATAATTCCATTTGTTTGATTTGACGTCACTGTTACGATCAACGAATGCAAACTTGTTTCGCTAATTGTCATAATCGACATACAACGACAACCTATAACCAATCGTTCGCAGAACGTCCCTATGGTACGGACGGTATCAATTTAGATTTTCGTTGTTTGTGCTGCGCGCTGGAAGTTGGACTTTGTCGCTTGTAGATTGCCCCCTCAGTTGGTGCTGTGATAAATATTAACAACTACTAGATTTATCTGTAGATACGTCATTCGTCAGTTTGGTTGGCTATCTACATTCCTACGCTAATAACTCAATTTAGTATTTCACTGTGATCGCAGCAGTCGGATTCAGCTGTCGTCTTTGTCAAGAGGTAATTATAAACTTTCCAAAATGCCTAGAAAAGTGTTCGTTGTTGGCGTCGGTATGACGAATTTCATCAAACCGAGCACTGGACCTGACTACCCCGAGCTGGGCAAGGAGGCAGTGCTGGCCGCGCTAGCCGACGCCCGCATCAAGTACACAGATATCCAACAAGCGGTGTGCGGCTACGTGTTTGGTGATTCCACTTGCGGCCAGCGCGTTCTCTACCAGGTTGGCATGACTGGTATCCCCATATTTAACGTAAACAACAATTGCTCGACGGGCTCTAACGCGCTCTACCTTGCCAAAAAGCTTATCGAAGGTGGTATCTCTGATGTCATGTTAGCCGTAGGCTTCGAGAAAATGGCGCCTGGTGCCTTGGCCGCGGGTGTGTTCAACGACAGAACCAACCCCATGGATAGGCACACACTTAAAATGGCTGAGCTAGCAGAATTAACTGGTGCTCCAATGACAGCTCAGTACTTTGGTAATGCAGCTACTGAACACATGAAGAAGTATGGTACCACTGAAGTTCATTTAGCTAAGATTGCAGCAAAGAATCACCGTCATGGATCAAAAAATCCTCGTGCTCAGGGTAAGAGAGAATATACTGTAGAAGAAGTGTTAAACTCTAGAAGGATCTATGGTCCCCTAACCAAACTGGAGTGCTGCCCCACAAGTGATGGAGCAGGTGCTGCTGTCCTTATGTCAGAGGAAGCAGTCATCCGTTATGGTCTTCAGGCCAAGGCAGTTGAGATTATTGGTATGGAAATGGCGACAGACACTCCTGCTGTGTTTGAGGAGAACAGTTTGATGAAGGTTGCAGGGTATGACATGACTGCTTTGGCAGCCAAGCGTTTGTACCAAAACACTGGTGTATCACCAAAACAGGTTGATGTTGTTGAACTGCACGACTGTTTTGCTGCCAATGAGATGATCACATATGAAGGACTCCAGCTGTGTGGGGAGGGTGAGGCTGGCAAGTTCATTGATGCTGGTGACAACACCTATGGAGGCAGAGTAGTAGTGAACCCAAGTGGAGGTTTGATTGCTAAGGGCCATCCTCTGGGAGCTACTGGCTTGGCTCAGTGTGCCGAACTTGTTTGGCAACTCCGAGGCGAGGCGGGAGACAGACAGGTTGGTTAATCTATTAGGCTCTTATTGCTTGGGGGTAATTGTTTCATTTCATCAGGTGAAATGAGATTACATGATACACACACACCAAGTCTTCCAAATTCATACAGGTATTTTTCTATAAAACTAATCATCCTTAGTAAGTGTTTTTTAATTATTTTAATTTAACTGTAATATAAAGGTAAGTTGTTAGCTATTCCAAAGTTGACTTGTTGAATATTTATCAGATTGAACTTTTGGACTGTAAGTGAATTTTATCTGGCTTATTAAGTATTTAAAGTTTTTATATCATAGAAAGTAGTTTACAATGATATGTTGATATGCTATCAGTAATTTTTCTACTAAACAACCAAACTTAATGATGAGATTCTATAATTTAGAATTTCAGATTTGAGTAGCAATTCTTTTTCTGTAAATTTCTGTGTATAATCTGTGATTACTTTCTAAAAAAGTATTACACAACAGAAACAAGCTAAAAGAAAGTTGTTTTGACACAGATTCCCTGTCTTACCACATATTAAACTTTCATACTCATGGAGTCAAAATATTGTCTTGTTTTTACGCTATAAAATATAAATGTATATTGGTATTGGTAAATGTCTTTGTTGGTAGTGTTTCTAGCTTACTGTGTAGTTAATGAATATTATAATTAAAATATCATCATTGTGTTATTTGTCAGTGTATAAAGACTATATGTTAGATAATGATGTGTCATTATAATGAAGGAGGTGCAGGTTCAGTATTTATTTTAGAAGCACATTTTTCTTTATTTAAAAATTCACTCTAATAGGACAAACTCTCATTTAATATTAAAAAAATATACTTTATTTGAACTATGGCACTAAAGTTTGTTCATATTATTCATTAGTGATGAAGTCTACAAATTGTTGTGAAATTTTTTAAATTATTCAATTTTGCTTTCCTAACTGTAGGTATCTATTAGTGTCACAATATTCATTTGATTTCATTCAATTGCTCAGAAATTCTCCTCGTCAATATTTATCACACTTTTAAATGGTCATTGCTCCGCTATACCCTCCCATTTCATATTATTATCTATCTGTACAC